GTGCGTCGCCCAGTGTCCTCCCTCGGGTGGCACCCCCTCCCCCTTCCTTCCCCTCCCCAGTCCTACCCAGTCCTACCTTACTATGCCTTACCCTACCCTACCCTTACCTCCCCTCCCCTCCCCACCCTCCCTTTTTGTCTCTCTCCTCTCCTCTGCCCTCCCCCCCCCCCCTTGCCCTGCCCTGCCCTCCTTACCCTACCCAACCGTGCCTTCCCCCTCCCCTCCTTACCTTAACCCTGCCCTACCCAGCCAGCTGTCACACGCCCTCACGCTGCCTTGGGTCTTTATAAAGAAGTGGATTCGCTGTGTCGAGGTCACGGCCCGGTTTTGGGGGTCGACCTTGTGACGTCGTAAGGTCGTGCTCATTAGGGCCGCGTTGGATGGTTGGAGGGGGGGGGGATTGGGTAGGGGCGCTGTAGGGTGAAAATGGCTTATATGTTGTGGCGGCGGCGGCGGCAGGGCCTTTTATGGGGTGGGTTGAGTGTCCGCTGCCGGGGGGGGGGTCATTGGGGCTCGGGGCTGGGGTCAGTGGGGCTTACGACTGGGGTCCGTAGGTGGGCTTCCGTGTGTCGGAAAGGGTTGCGTTTAGCGGCGCACAGGGGCAAGGAACAAATGAAAACATCCGAGTGGTACTTTATAGCTGTAATAATAGGGTCTCCATAAATTCACATATATATAAACCAGAATACAGAAAGTAACAAACAACTGGTGTTGATCCGTATACACTTTGCATCAACCGAGAGATTTCCCTCTCCCTACATCCCCTCCCTCCCCCCCTCCATTCCCCTTCCCCGTCGCCCCCCTACCCTTCCCCCGCCCCCCTACCCTACCTTCCCCTTCCCCTTCCCCCCTTCCCCCCTTCCCCCTTCCCTTCCCCTTCCCTTCCCCTTCCCTTCCCCTTCCCCTTCCCCTTTTCCCTCACCCGCCCTCCTCGATGAAGGCGGACATTTTTCTTCGTTGTCATTTGCAAGAGCGTGGGCGGGGTCGGTCCTGTTCACGAGGGACGCTTTCCAGAGAGATTCCTCACTTCCGCGAGAGGGCTTCTTCCGACGCGGCTGGCTCGAGTGGCTCGCAGATCGTCGTGCGGGTCGCTGTCCGGCTGTGCGAGGGGCGCCGCTGTGGGGGCCACGCTTCCTCTTGGGCGATTCCCTCCGGACGCTGGCGCAGATTTCGCCGCCGGGAGAGACGGCCCGTGGGATGCGTCGCTCGGGTTAGGCAGCGCTGCGCAGACGGACGTGTTTAGGTTGTGTCTGGCCTTCCAAGGTCATGGATTGGGACCTTTCTCGCCGGCAAGGTCGTGGCAGCCTGAGCGCCATCGTAAACACGGTCGCGTTATGCAGGGCCCTTCGTGGAGATGGCAGTCCGGTCCGGATCAGATTCCTCATTGATATGGCCAGCGGGGCGCAAGGCCGCCCGCGAATGGTCCCTCGCGAACAAGGTCGCCCTCGACCCGCAGTGCTCACACTCTGGGGCGCTGCGCACGCCGTCTGAAGGTCTCCGCCAGGGGGTTAATGGGCGGGACGTTCGGCCCGAAGTTGACGTTGATGTCGCTGTCCAGGGGGTGGCCGGGCCGCACCACGACGCCGAAGTCCTCCACGGGCTCCGGGAGGTGGTTGGACACCGGGGCCGCGGCCGCCGGCGAGGGCCTCGGGGCTGCCACCAGGGACGCTGACGCGGAGGGCAGGACGAAAGGCACGGCCGGGACGGGGTACACGTAATGAGCGACCGGTTGATGGCTCGAGACGGGCTGGAGCACGGCCGCGGGATGGGCCGTGGAGCGCTGTGGGCGCGGGTACACGTAGGGCACGAAGATGTGGTTGTTGGTGGAGGCACCGCCCACGAACATGGAGAAGGGGCGCTGGTGGTCGGGCGGCGGCAGGAAGGCGGGCACGTTGCCGTTGTACTCGCGGTCGTGCAGCGCCGCCGACACGGGCCGCAGGCGCGACGGCTCCAGCTGGTAGCGCTCGTCGTCGTCGAGCGTCTGCGGCGGGTCCTGGAACACGTCCGAGTTGAAGCCGCCGCCCTTGATGATGAGGAGGTCGTCGTCGGCGTAGAAGACTTCGTCAGGGTGGAGGCCGCCCAGCTGGTGCGGGCGCGGGCGCGGCAGCGGCGGCAGTGTGCCCCGCTCGCTCTGCAGGCGGTCCAGAGTCGTGTACTTGTCGTCGGCGTCGAGCACGGCACTGTGCTGGTCGTCGTGGGCCGTGTCGGCGGTCACGCGGCTCTTGGTGGTGCCGTCGTCGTCGCGGGGCGGCGCCGGGGGGCCTCCGCGGGGGCCTCCCACGGGCACGAAGCTGAAGGGCGGGTACGGCCCCAGGAAGAACGGGTGGGCGGTGATGCTCTTGAAGTGGCGCTGGCGCTCGGAGGGTGGCAGCCGCGGCCGGAACGTGGTGGCGGGCGGCGCGGACGTGGTGGGCTCAACGTAGCCGGGAATCCGCGACGCCTTTGGGTGATTGTCGCTCTTGCCCCACACCCACCGGTCGTCGCTGCTCGTCACGCCCAC